TAAGGTGGCAACACAAAACCAACAGATGGGCTAAACACCAGCTGACAAAGGGACCGGGAGGTGGCTTTCTAACGGTTGGCTCCTGCCCGCTGCCACGCTTACTTCACTTCTCAGTTTGAGGACAAAAAAAAAAAAAAAATCACCTCTGCTTTTTCTTGTAAATTCTTGAGGATACAAATTAACTGAAAGAACAGTAGGAACATTGTTCTTTGGGGGCTTGTTTTTCATTCTTAAACCAAATCGAACCTACAGCATCACAATGCAAAAGTAATCCTATTTATGGCAGTGATTTTAAGTTTAACAACAGGATGAGCTGCAATTACTGACTCTGTAGCGGGCTTCCTGCACTCGCTTCTGTAAGTCACTACATCTCTTCCTGGCCCAAGATTTTTGCCCAATCTACTTTCCTAGCTCTCTGTTAAAATTGTTAGTTACCTTGGGAAAAGACACACTGGATATTTGTATAGGACCTACCTTAGAAGAAGCACTAGTTGCTACTATGACACTAATTACTAAGAAAAACCACAATCTAAATTTTCCCCCACCTTCTTTTAAAAAAAATAATGTTTTGTTTGTTTCCTGGTTCTGCAGTTTGTGCCCATCCAGCTGTGGCATTGCAGCGGAGCTCCAACAGGTGCCTTAACGACACAGCCTGGTATGGGAACACACATAGGACAGAAAGATGCATTGCTAGGTGGAGATATATTTACTGTCAGGAAACAATGATTTTGTGATAAAGAAGATGGAGTATAGGACTGTAAACATTAAGTAGTATTTTCAATTGAGCTGCTCTTAATCACGAAAAATGTATGCCGGCCTTATTTTACCATCTGTACACCCTTAAAATGGTTGGGGCAAGGAGATCAAGCAATGATTTTTCCATCCCTCATAGTTTTCTTGTGAGAAGCAGAAAATGCCTTTCATCCCAGTTCTGGTGCCAGGCATTGAGTTGTTTGCTATCACAGAATTTCATGTCAGATGGAGGAGACTGAACTGTGAATTCCTAAACCTAGAAAAATATTTTCAGATGTCTGTGCAGCCCAAAGCAGCTGTTAAACCTCCGCATGCTGACAGTAACTTCATACCTGTGCTCTGACAGAACAGGGATGGAGACATACTCAAAAAGACATTGGGCTTCTGAAAAAACATCACCTGCCTTTGGGAAGAGGGCTTGTAAAAAAAACCAACCAAACAAAAAAACCCCACCACCCAAACCACAAACAACAAAGGCAACCGATTGGGGAAAAAAACACAGGCCTCACCCACTCCTGAGTGCCCAGGACTGTTCAGATAAGCCTGAATGGTCCTTAGGAAGGCTCTGCACTTCACAATACCAGCTGCACTTTCACAGTTCAAGTACCCAATAAACTGGCAAAGAAAAAGCATTCATGATGAGTACATCAGTTAAAATTACACTGATGTCAAATCACAAGGGATACGAAAAGCCAGAGAGATTGTGATACGTAGCTTTTTGTAACAATGGCTATTAAAATCGGCATTTCTCCCTCTCCTTCAAACTGTACTGTACCTCTCAGCGCAGTTCTTTTTTCTGTGGTTGACAACATAACAAACATACCCAAGGAAAATACAACCTCGTAAGAAGAAAGTGTCATCCTTTGAGACCTGATGTCAAATGAATGAATATTCATTCAAATAAACATCTGTTATATCCACACGTTGCTGTAGTAAATCTGTGTTAATAAGGTACAAAAGGCTGGGAAAAAATAAAAACTAGGCTGGCTTTCCAATTAGTCTCTGTTAAATGGGATTCCTTTATTTTCACTTTGTATCCTGAAAGCCACAGAAGCCACGCAACGCGTAGCAGCTGACGCGGTATGCAACCCTTGACCAATCCGCTTACTTTCATTCTCTAGGTGCGCACTCATCTAGTATTTTTTTTTGGACGCCTGTGTTAATTTTTACCTGATAATAAAAATTTAAATACTTAATCCTGACTTTCAAAGCTCCATCTGCTGACTGATAGATTTTTGATATTGCCATGCTTCCCTTTTACTAATTATGCCCAGATTGCTCATCATGCCAGATACTGTTTATGCTAGGAATTTTCTACAGCATACCTCAGGGGCAGATTGCCTGTAGTGGTGATCTGGGAATTCTCTATAGCCTACTTTAACAAACAAACCTCCAGTATTCCTCCACATCACATCATTCAACTCTCTCGTCAAATCCTCGGCATACCTTTCAACTGAGCTAACTCCAGCTACCCAGAGAAGGGCATTCCCTGACACACCGGTTGTTTATTCCCTCCAGAGCACAATATATGCTCTCTGACCCCTTGATCCTGCACAAGCTAAGAAAACACAGTAGCTTTAAGTCATTAGGCTGTTGATAATGAAAGCCCTTGAGGTAAAAGCCATCGAGGCGAAAGCCCTTGTGCTGGACAGCAACGTTAGCTTGAGATTTCATGTAAATTGCACAAACATTTACAGTAATTGTTAATTCCTTTTCTGCTGAAGCCAGTTATCCACAACCTCATCTACTTTTCACAGAGAGAATAAATCTTCTCTTACAAGTGGATTTTATTGCCAGTAGGATCAGGCTCCAAGTTTGGAATATTTACGTTATTTCAATTGGCAGATTGCTTTTACCACACGGCGTGCTCTAGGCGTAGAGCGTAAAAAGCGGTTCCAGCACACACCGGAACAATGCATTCATGACAGGCCAGAAAATAACCTAAATCTCCATCCTATGCCATCTTCCTGCGACACCTACCGCAACCACTTATCCCCTTTCGTCAGTGTTCAGAATTGGGCATGCTGGCTGCTCACGGAACAACTCCTAATTCTGTTTTTAGTCCTGAACACCCTCCTTGTAGGGGTGGCGAGGCGGCAGGGTGGCGCTCCT